ATTCTGGATAATTAGTACAAAGACAACAATATGCAATATATCAACTATTGTAACTGCCCTACGAACCTGTTTCAAAACTCAGTTTCACTGATATGTTTATCTTTTTTCTCTAATTTAAAATTTAAAAAATAACATAGAAAATCCATTAAGAATAATACTTGTAATTACTTACACTGGTGCATGTCATTGCTGGCCTATTAGTTTTAGTAATTTTAATGTGAACTTTCTGGGTAACAACTACTTCTAAATTTCATTCTAATAAAAACTGATGCCATCATTCAACTTTGTCACTATAAAAATCACATAGGTCTGATTGCAGAGAGAGAGCGGGAAAGATTAAAAAATGTAAACTGGTCATTAATTGAATCACTTATTCTTTTATCACATATTTACTGAGCACACACTATTACCCTGGCCAAGTTACACAACCCAGAGAATTCTGTTTCCTCAACTATAAAATATAAATAACCAAAGACCTATGTAAGGCTTAAACAAGATAACGAGACGACATGCTCTGTGCTGCCCTTTCCAATGCCTGCCGAACATCAGAAAACAATCAAGTCTGTCTTCTTCTCCTTTTTCAGTGGTGTCAAGTCTATATAGCTCCGCCCTCATCCCCTGTACCATAAACCTAAACATACGCACACACACAGAGAAATCTGAGACCTTACAATCCCCCTTGCTCCTCATTCATTTGTGATTCCTGAAGCCTCCAATGTGTAATACTCCCTCAATAAACACTGATGGAGTTTAAATGGAACCGGAACCCTAAAATCCTGCTGTCGTAGAAATACCTTAGTAAGTCAGTCTGTTAATAAATCGCATAATTCTGCAACGAAATGTGGCATAACAATAAATTAAAATGATTCCTATGAAATCTAATTGAACTGCAAGCATATTTAAGTGTCACAAGTAATATTACATTGAACTTTAGAAATGGGAATATATCCCCTTTCCCAAAAAGTCTACAAAGCTCAGAATCATTGGCTGATCGCTGCTTGTCAAATTTCAGAAGGCATACATGTTTTCTTCCTAGTTGCAAAGTGGAAAGCAGTTTGTACTGCTACTAACCAAAAACCCGGCTTCTTCAAGAGATGCATAACTAGGTCAAGCCCCACGCCACGCACTTACCCACTTCAGCCAGCGTTCTGATACAGGATTCCACAGAAGCTTTCTGGGCTGGATTTGGCCAGGTGCAGTTGTAAATTCTGAAGGCCGACTGTAGCAGCTGAATGAAAACTGGCTGGTGTGTCTTAAAAACAGAAAGTAGGCAAGTAGTGCGGCTACAGAGGCATCAAGTATCAGAAGGGCTCACCAAAATAACATTCAAGGTACTCTCCCAAGTGTCCCTGCTTCCTAAGTGTCCGTGCTACTTAATAAACGTGTCATTTGATAACCATTATTATGTACCTGCTACATGATCAACACCATAAAGACACTCTAGAACATGGGTCATTCGCATTTTAACTATATACTTAATGAGAGGCTAATATGACCTTTCTTGAAGCAAATGAAATTCATCTTAATACTTCGTACAAGCCTTTGTTTATTCCCAAACACCAGCACAGCAGGCGTTTCCAGGCTGGGTTGGCTGGTATGGTTATATATGGTTATATATGATGGGTAAGCAGAATTAGAACTATAAAAACAATTTCCTCCTTGCCTAACTATTGGTTTAAAAGGTTTCTCTTAGGAAAGGTTATCGGAGACCACGGGAATAAACACAGTCAGTGATCACTCCATGTGGACATGAACGGCACCAACAACGCAAGACACTGTCATCACTCCTATCTGTGGGGGACTCGGTCCAGGCCTCCCCACCCAGATGGTGGAGCCCACAGATGTTCAAGTTCCACATATAAAACTGAGTAGCCTGTGCCCATCCTTCGCCTACTCTACGTTACTTATAACATCTCTACATTACTTCATATCTCTGCACTACTTACAGTACCTAACAGAACGCAAATGCTATGTAAATCATTGATACACTGAGTTGTTTAGGGAATCATGACAAGAAAATAAAATTTCTACATGTTCAGTACAGATAAAATTTTTTCCCATTATTTTTGATCTGAGGTTGGTTGAATCCACAGATGAAAAACCAGTGGACGCAGTAGGTGGGTTGTATGTAATCCCTGAATTTCTCTGCACATATATGCATAGGTATTCTTTACACAAACAAATATGCATGATAGAGTAATATAATTCTGTGGTTGAATATCACGCCATAATCATTTTTCTGTTAAAACAAGATTTTTAATTGCCGTCTACTAAGCCACCCCGCAGATATACCGTAATTAATTTAGTTATTCCCCACTGTGGACACGTAAAGTTGACATCAATTTTTAAGTATTATAAATAATTGAATGAAAATATTAATATACACCCCTCAGCTTGTTGTTTTAGAATAAATTACTGAAGTGGAACTGTTGATTCAGAATGTCTATTGGTTTAAAGAATTAAATCACTATTTCAATAACTGGCAAAGAGACAAACAGATCTGAAAGGTCTTATTCTGCTGAAAGAGGAAGTATAATTGAATTGGAAGAAGAGGTCTTCTTTCATTAAATTAAATGAAAGTTTGGTAAACTCAGGCCTTAAGAGCAAAAAATATGGACAACAGTGACCCTCAAAAATGTTGGCTGTGACTTCCTGACCAGATTAAAGATTTAGTATCTGGAAGAGCATAGGATTATTACCACATAAAGAGGCGCAGTTGTGACAAAAATGCTTCTATATAGCAATGGTGAAGTTACCTGGAGGCTTGTACTGTTGTCTGAAAAAGGAGAATTGAAGAAGCCGCTCACGATGCTCATGACAGACTCAGTAACACACTTCTCCAAGGAGATGTCTGCGTGTTTCCTGTCAGTAGTTGTGTTGCAAACCTGGGGAGAAAGGATTCAATACGTCCCACCGCATCTTCACATTATAATTCAGTTCTGGAACCTTCTAAAAGTCATCCTGCAACAGCACTCCATGACAGTTCTTATGTTTTTCAAAGGTGTTTTGAATAGAAATGTTGCCTCCCTCAAACCATGAACTGTATCATTCCGCAATAGCTTCTCCTTCAAGTCTGATGGTCATTTCAACCAAAGCCTGCATTTCTTCACAGACTTTCGTCTTTGGGTTTGTGTTCTTCCTCCCTCTCTCTCCTTTTCTAGTGCAACCTTCCCCTCAGTCCCCAGGCATGGCTCTTCTGGAAAACACTTTCTCACTGAACTTGAGGAAGCCCAAGAGAAAAACAGACATAACAAGTAAAAGGACATGGTGACCATAATTCACAGTAGCTTCTGTCCACAAGCATTTTCCCTTAAAAGAACTGACCCAAATGGGCCAGGGAGGGACAGGGAAAAGACAGAAACTATCTGGAAAGGAAAACAGAAAAGTGAGAGAAGATCAATTCAAGCCCTTTCCTACTACTGTGATACCTCCCTTCCTTCCCTCCCAGATCATCCGGGGGGGAGCATGGAAGTGGACAGCTGGATACATTTTTTGCAGTGTAGGTGAAGTAAAACAGCGCCATATTGGAGCCGGGAGGGGCCAGAAAAGGACAGCTCTGCTTCTGCTCAGATCTGTGTGTCAGGGTAGTCTTTAAAAAGCACACATGGAGCTGTTGAAAAAGAGAAAGATGGAGAAGCAAGCGGGCAGTAGGTGTGGCAGAGAAAGAAAGTGTAAACCTTCACACAGCGCGGCGGTGTGCAAATGTGGGGACCATCTCTTCCAGATGTCCTCAGGCAACCCAAAACTTATGCCGCATTTGTCTTTCCCCTAAGATGCTTAATCAAAAGAATGAGTAAATGTAACTTGATCTGATACGGCTTTAAGCATTTTTTTCTCACAAATTCATAAAATGAACAACTCCCTTCTTGAACCATACGCTCCAGTGTTGCTGGCTTGGAAACAAGATGTGCTGAAGCTCACGTTTGTAAAACGGAGGGAGAAAAAAGAAGCGACATTGGTGTTTAAGCCACTCCCCTCTTGGGCAATTCCCTCTTGCCTCCTACAGTGTGATGCCTACTCGACACTGTTATTAAAATAGAAAGCTTTTTAGCATAATTAATATCATAGGGTTATTTTAGGGAACTGATATAATTAAAAGAAACAAATTAAGTTAGATGAGGTAGTCTAGCTGTTGGCACAGTATAAAATACCACCTGGCACATCTGAGATTTTGCCACATAGCTTCTAGCTGTTGTTTATTGGGAATACGTTCCAAAGCTCCCAGCGGATGCTTGAACAAGGTCCGGCCAAATAGCTCAGCGGATTAAAGCACCTGCAAGCAAGTGCAGGAGCTGGGGGTTCAATTCCCGGAGCCTGCAGTGCCGGCTCCACCCCCAGGGCACACTGAGACAGCACTTGAGAGTGGGCATGGTGGTGTGCACCTGTAATTCCAGCTCTTGGGACACTGTAAATAGGCGGATCACTACAAGTCCAATCTAGTAGTGAGACCCTGAACCCCCTGTAGATCCTTCTCTAAAATACAAAAGAAAAAATAAAAAAGCTTACACAATATGTGCTTTTTCCTACACATGCATATCTGTGATAAATTTTAATCCAGAGATTACCAACGACATCATAAGACAAATGATTACAACATACTATAATAAATGTCATGTGAATGTGTTTTCCTCTGAGTATCTTACTGTGCTTACACCTTTCCACTTAGAGGAAGCACTTTATAACTTCTCTTTGGCATATCTAAATTGCCAGCATCCCTGTCCCTGCATGCTTGGGCAGTGGTTAAGTAGAGGGAGGGTTATGGGAACATGCTCTCAGTGATAGCAGGCTATTAGGATGCCAGACGGGGTTGCCAAGTGACTAACAAGCAGACTGCACAGACAGTTCAGGTAGACCGAAAAAGAGATGCTTGAGCCCAACAACCCTGTGTTGACTCGGGATAGAATGAGATTTCATCACGATTTTCAGAATAGAGCACAATGTAAAACTTCCTAATTGCTTATCCCTGAAATTTTCCATCAAATGCTTTTTAACTTCTGACAACCTCAGATAACCAAAACTGCAGAAAGTAACACCGCAGATAACAGGACATGGCTATAAATGTTCATGAAATGAACAAACATCAATTTTAAAATGAAAAAAAGAATAAGGATTATTTTGACTTTAGGTTCACTATGGACTAAGTCATATTTATTGATCACTGTAACCTAAGATTAAAAGTTAATGTGATCCCAGAAGTAATATAAAATTGATTTTCCCCGTGATGGACATGAATTAAGATTTAATTCTTTTAGAATCTTTCTAGTACTGGCATTTACACTGAAACTTTCCTGATATGAAGCCTAAAACTATCTTAAACTGAAATAGGTCACTGACCATTTTTCTGGTACAACCAGCCCAAACAACCACCTTCTTTAGCCAAAGATACCTCATGCAATTGTGCGAGGCAGCTGTGGGTTAATAGAGTACCACACAGCACTCAGGTAACTGAACCAGAGCCAGGGCACCACCCAGAAAGTACCTTTCCAGGCAGTAGGTTAATAAAAGTAATCTATTTCTAGAGAAAAGCTTCACAGAAAATCCTGAATAATGAAAAGTCTATGTTTACAAAACCGTAGAATCTGTTGCTCTTCTCAAGATATTTTTCCACCCCACAGGAGTGATAACGTTTGTCCTGTGGTGCTGTGGACAGCCAGGAAATGTACAAGGCCACATTTCTTATTAAAACCTTTTTAAACTTTTTAGGAAAAAGAACTTAAAAGTAGTATAATATTCCTTTATCCTGTCCTTTATTTTAATTGCTTCTTTAGCTTTGGCTTGTTACCAGGAATCAAACTCAGGACCTTGCACTTGCCAGGCAGGTACCACGTTGTTGATCCATATCCCCCAGCCCTTTATTGTCTTTAAAACAAAGATTGAAAATGGCTCACAGAAAAATTGAATCACATTACATGGTTAAGGTTTTTTTTATGTGTAACACATATATTTTTAAAGTTTCAATCTACTCGCACATATTAATGAGATGATATTATTTCCTATAAAACATTTCCATGTACGGTCATTACCTAACCACTTATTTCAAAAGGCTATATATTTATTCCATCAACTTAATGCACCAACATGCTTTAATCTATTTTTGGAATAAGTTAAGTAAGGTGCACATTAGTGCAATTACAAATCACTGTCTTAGCAATTTCCTTCTTGCTAGTCTTCTGTGTGTGGATCTATCTATTTAATTTATTTAGTGATTATAAGGAAATGTGCATGATTACTAATTTTACTTTCAGATTGTGCTGGTCTATTTCCCCAAAGAATCACCAGAGGAGCACGTAAAGATCATTTTAAACTGCTTTCTGAGTTGCTCCTCAAAACAATAAATTTCCTGTGCTGTCCACAAAGATACCTGGGATGTTCCTACATTCCCACCAGACAGCGCTTGCTTTCAGGCTCTGCTGGGGTCAGCTCCTCTGAGTCACTGGCAGACCAGAGAGAAGCCAAGGAGAAAGTCTGCAACCATGTCTTCCTCTGCTCCGTCCCCACCTCCTCTCCCTGCCCTGTCTGAGGCACCACCCCCTCTAGGAGCCCTTCTTCCCCGTGTCCAAACTCCCCAGGCTCCAAGAGCACTGGCCTGTCCTTGGCCTCATCTGGTCCCTGAGTGGTGACAGCGCTGCCTTGGTGCCACTTCCTGGGTGCTCTCCTATCCTTCCGGGTTCCCGTGTCCCTATCCACATTCCTTGGAATGTGTGAAACACTACCCAAACTGACTGCTCTATGTATAAATGCTAATTAGTTTTGTCAATTTAATTGACATTTAAAAGTTATTTTATTTTACATTGCTAACAAGGTTGCACAGTTTTTCATATATTCATTACATTTCTATTTTCTGCCATGGGCAAACAATACAGACCCTCTGAATCACTTTCCAAAAGCCCGGATAATGATGGTACCCCAAAGTTCAATACACTTTCATAGCTGTTTTCAGATTTCACATTCTGAGTCTTCATTTAGCGTATTTATTTCATTATCTTTCCTTATGTAAACTGATTTTTAACATTCAGGCACCATTACTTGTTCTGTAATATTATTTACTTCATATACGATAAAACCTTTCTTCTACAAAAGGGAATGGCAGTCTACGCTCTTATTCTAGTTTTTTAGCTCTAAACTTTCTGGAATGTGACGCTTTTGGGGACCTGACTTCTACATTATGATATCGTCCCATACTGACACCCACCTGTCCTCCAACACCTATAACTAGTAATGTCTTGCCTCACTCCTAGCTTTCTTGAGTTTTGTTTTATTGTATATCAGTAATTACCAGTACTTACTCTCTCCCTAAGTCTCTAGTACATGCTGTGGATTTGTTTTGTTTTGTTTTGTTTTGTTTTGTTTTGATTGTTTGAGTGAGACAAGGTCTCACTATATAGTTTAGGTTGGCTTTGAACTTACTATGTAACCCAGGCGGGCCTCCAATGCAAGAGGATCCTCCTGTCTCAGCCTCCTGAGTTCTGGGATGATAGGTACATACCATCGCATTGAGCCACACCACAGATTTTTATAAATATTTTAACACAATTCGTGAAAATGAAGTGATTCTCAATTTGTAATGTTGTACTGCAACAGCAGGCAGAAACACCAAAATGACACCCAGGATTTGCAGGCAGATTTATTTACATCAACAAGCAGTGATCAGGATCATGCCCAGAACATCAGGCCCTGATCTCTGGTGGTCTAGGGCTTATATGGGATAAGCGAGCAGGAAGTATACAGGCAGAGTGGCTTGTCCACTGGGGATTGGTCCATACAATCCAGTGTGTCATAGTGTCCAGCTACGCATCAGGGATTAGCTGTCTCTAAGGGACAGGAGCAACCGGAACTGGAACAGGAACTGGATCACCCGGGCAACGAAGGAACGGAAGTACACTGG